GTGAAAAACACAATGTAGTTTTAGTTATTGACTTATAGTAAAATTTACTATATAAATATATATATATATACAATATATTTATAATAGTTAAATCAACCCTGTCAGTATGTCAGTTGTATATGAATTATTTTCTTTGTCTATGTACATTGTACATAGGGGACCATAATAACATGTGTGGCAGTTGCAATCACTCTAACCAGAGAGTATAGGAATTACAAACTAAGGAGTACTCGTAGGTTATTAGATAATAGTAGGAATTCGTTGAAATTATTTTTCTTTGTTTCGGACTCCGGTAATGTGTTGCCAGATGATATAGTCGTTGTATAGATGCAAAAATGCAATTCTTGTTTCGTATTTTCGTATTCATTGCAATTTTGGACCTCCGAGACTTCAACTTAGTGCAACAATTTCAACTTTCAAGTCTTATATTGATTCAAATTTGTATAAGAAAAAAATTAACTCATCTCTAATATTTTAACTTGTATATTTATCGTATTGTAATATATCTAGTAGGGTGGTTCTAATTTTTTTAAAACACTTTTATTTTATAAAATATCTGGTTATAATTAAGAATTGTTTTAACTTTTAAGGATATTTTACTATCGGAGGTGTTATAATGAGGGAGGGTTGGAAGTAAATCTCCCAAGGACTAAAAAGGATGAAAAATATGTATATAATGTATATTTTAATATTTTGTATAAAGTGTAGTATTTGTTAATTATGATGGAATTACAAAAATATTAATTTTTCGTCCAGAGAGATAAAATTAGATGATTGATATTGATTATTTTTTATCAGTGCATTCATTTGAAATTTTTATGGTACTAAAAAAGATGTTTTCTTGGTTTTTTTTTATATTACTTTCCCATACTAATAGCTATTGTGCTATGATAAAATATCTTTAAACAATTTCATTTGTATTTACATACAACAATTGTATTTCACATTTATTTTTATAGTATTTTATATTTATTTAAATCATAAGATAATTTTAAAAAAAAATGTGTAAAATATATAAATTCAGTAAGATGATTCATTTCTTTCCTGGATAGAATTAAGGTTTTATTGAAAATCAAGCTGTTGGTTAAAATTTGAAATTTATGTCTTTCGTTATAAGAAAATGTAGTAAAAAAAAAAAAAAAAGACAGTGACAGATACATAAAATAAAGTTTATTTCTATAATATCTGTTCGATATTTATTTCATGTTAAGAGTAATATGATATACAATATTAATATCCAATAGCTTATAAGTTTCAGTGATCCATAGTAATCATATTTGAAATACTGTTTTCTTATATATTAATATTTAATTTTTGGCTTCTAACCTTCTGGCTTTAGTGAACCAATAACAATGTTTGAAGAAGAAGCTCACTTGCGTCAATAGATAGACCGTGATACATGGAGATTTATAAATTCCAATTATTTTCACTCAACATTAGAGAGAATACAGCATCAATAACATTCACAAATAGTTTGCTTTTTGTAATATTGAGGTTGGAAAATGGTTGGTTCCGTTTAGTTAGTAATTTGTCGAGTAATTCGAGGTTTTTTAATGATAAATAACCAACAAATCAAATCAACCAAATCAACAAGATAACGAGTCTCAATAGACGGAACATGGCTTATTACATTGTTCTTATTATACTAGGCTTAAATTCAAATTCAGACCATAATTTTAGAAAGAACGTTGTGTCAGTATGAATATAATTTTTTTAATAAATATTCCGTGAACATTTTTATTTGTTCATCAGCTAGTTGAATACTTACCAATTCATTTATAAAACTCTTCATTCATCTTCGTGAAGAAATAAGAATAGAAGTCCAAAACATTTTTTTTATGTAATTACTTAACTTTTTTTTTTTTTGTAATCACTATTTAATCCTAGATTCTGAATTTTTCGCCACCAATTTTGGCCTAGATATAATCTACAACCTTTAATATTTATTTATGACCAAAAATTTAATAGTCACTTCAAAATCAACAATTTCAGGTATAAAATTAAAATTTCGTTTATTGCATTCATTAAGAATATGTGTAATAGTTTGTGTATGACATTGTACTTCTAAAAGATAGTAAATAAAGTATAATAGGAATATAGTTATTGTTGTAAGTAATATGAATTGTGAACATTTGTGTATAATTTTACTACAACTTTTAAATGTACTATCCACATAAATTGTATTAGATTTACAAAAGATTTTTAAATTTTCAGTTGTTGAAAATATAATTTAGTTATATATACTGTCATTAATGAATACAATGTTTTCTTCACGATTTGTTTTTATTTTAAAATCGTTTTATGTTTTTTGAATATCGCTTAGACTTTTATGAATACTCGGTTGAACACTTTTTCTAGAATAGTGCATATTTTTTCTTAAGTACAATCGTTATGTATTAGAGTTTCTTTACAATTTTTTAATTCATTATGGCCTTTCATAAGGATTTTCTTGTTTTTATCTTTTTAAAACACATGGACCCAATTCGTACAAAATGTTAAACTAATATTATTTTCATATCCAACTCGGATGCAGCCATATATATATATATATATATATACGAGGTACGTCCAGAAAGTAATTTTCTATTTTTATTATTAAATCGCGTTTGCGATGTTATCTTAATTATGGTCATATCCGATTACTTCATTTACTTATTTGGAACATTTTTAAACCATTCCGTGACTAGTTAGTGTACGTATGTCACGTGGCGAGTGTTTAAAAATGGATAGAGTAGAAAATTCCGCCATATGTGAGGTACGATCTGTGATTCATTTTTTAAATGCAAAGAATATCAAACCAGTTGATATTCATCGTCAAATATGTGAAGTTTGTGGAGATGTTATGAGTGATTCAATGGTTAGGAGGTGAGTGCGACTTTTCAATGAAGACCTTACAAATGTTCACGATAAAGAACGAACTGGGCGACCACCTTTGGTTAATGATGTTTTGGTGCAAGAAGTCGAAAAAAAAAATTCATGAAAACAGAAGGTTCACCATGACGTCATTATCAATACATTTTTTTTGCTTATGAAATCATTTATGGGTGACCAGAACTTCAACGAAGATGATGAGGTGAAAAAGGCTGTTAGCGCATGGTTACAATCACAGGCGTCATCTTTTTATGATGAAGGGATACAAAAACTAGTACCTCGACATGATAAATGCTTAAATAATGGTGCTAACTATGTTGAAAAATAAAGTTGTACTTGTCTTTTATATTCAAATAAAATTTATATTAAAATTTACACATTTACATGTTTTTATTGCCCAACGGAACTTACTTTCTGGACGTACCTTATGGATCGTACGGTATTGTACTAAGAGAGGGGAGATTTGTTACTTATGTTTTTTAGTTTTTATACTATTTAGGTAAATTGCTATTTTATTATAAAATTACACTAAGATAACATACTACAAAATTTCTTTTTGTGTACGTGCATGACTGAACTTATAACATTTTGACAAGCTTATATCCAGTCTAGATAACATATGGTATTATGTATTACATGACCATTATTATAGTAAATACCAATGGGTACATATAATATGTAATAACTAATAACTTATTGGTACTTATTACATTATTTTCACCCAATTTTTTTTCTTTTTCGTCGCTCATTAATACCATTTTTAGGAGCCAAAAACAATTTGAATCCATTTTAGTTTGCTACTAATCATATACCTGAACTGCAGTGAAATAAAGTAGACAATTAAAACAATTTTACATCTATATTAACGAAATCAGAACTCTATAATCTATAATTCTGTGTACATAATTTTTGACCACCGACTCCGCGTTACTATATATTATACCGTACACATTACATAATATTATTTTTCTTAATCGCGTATAACAAAACAGAAATGTTATACTCAAAACACAATTATCCTAAAAAAGCTACATTTGTTTAGCTTGCAACATCAACTCTTTAAAATTTTAAATAATCGATAACTTCCTTATTACAATATATAATAATAATACTTTAATCTAATGTACGAATGTATGTAAAATAATTACGAGTAACAACATTACATAATGCAACATTAACATTACAACGAAAACTTAAAATTTAAATCAATACGATGAATAGGTAAGTACCTATGTTTATTAGTAATATTAAAAATAATAATATTAATAGGTAATAATTAGTAGTTTTCTCAAATGCGATTATTCCGTTCCATATAGTATAATTACTGTGTGTATCAATATAACATGGATGGATTTTTCATTGAATCTAATATATACCATTAATTATACAATATCATAATATTTGGTCATCAAATATTATCAATATTGGAATTTTCACTTGAATAGTGGGGATAAAAGCGTGGCATTGACACGAAAAATTTAAATATCTTAAACACTAAGTACGCAAAAAACGACACATCAAGAGAAAATATAAAAGAAAATAAGCCGCGGTATTTTTTAAGTTTTTCTAAAAACTGCTGTAAATACACATCTTAGGTGTAATACTGTAAATATACAGCATTACACCTAAGATTGATTTTCGATGTAGAAGAAACATATTGAACGACCTATTATTAGTCTCCTGTTAATCTGAAATATTGGTATATCGGAAAACGTTTTCGTATTACCATTATACTAAATATATTGCCTACCTTGCATTGATCACATCCGAATTTGAAAAGTCATGCAGAGTGTTTGAAACGAATGAGTAATTATCATTATAAATTAAGACATACACAAATTTAGGCAGTGGTACATATATTCATCAGAATCGCCGGATGAATACTGAAATAATTATAAGTTTATTCGGTGTGTATAAACCTATAGTAACCTAGTGCGTATACACTCGCAGTTATAAGTAACATTTTATTTTGTTCATTATCAATTTTTCTGTGCTCTAAATGTATTAATTTTCATATATATATTATATATAGGTATTATATGCATACATTAATGCATAATATATTAATTATTCTTTTACTTAAAAAAAAAAACTAAAGTTATTATTTTTTATAAAAGGATTAAACGCGATTGTTGGGGTTTCACTTTAATCAATTAATAATACAACAATATAGTTGTATAGTACTAAAATAAACCGGCTATGTTCTGTGTTTAGTGATGCACCAAAAAACAAAAGAACAAAGCAAATGATTTAGCAGCGTATTTGTCGACTATTAAGCCTGCAACTTTAGTCGATCATCAATTCGAAGTGAACGGAACCTTCGCGGTTCTGCAAGCTCCGTTTGTAAAATATGTTCTTTGCCCAAGCACGACATTCAACGTTGATCAATGTATGTCCTGGAAAAAAAAATGAAAATCAATAATTAGTTAAGAAAATAAAATAAGAAAAACTATATTATTTGTATAAAAGTTTAATATTTAATAATAACGTTGCAACGAACAAGAATGTATCTCACATATTCAATTTCTTAGGATGCTTAAAATAAATATAAAAATATTTTATTCTTATTAATTATTTTAATAATAAATTGATTTGAGTTTTCATAAGACTGTTGACAACATTTATCGAGTATTAAACTTATATTGTTGAAAAATGTTGACGAACTGACTGGTAAAAAAAGTCTTTAATTACGACATCAAATATAAAAAATAAAGTAAATATAGCAATTTTTGAGTGCAAAACACATGGTGATAGCGTTACTTTATCAATAAATTTGGTTTTTTTTTCCAATGAGTTTTCGAATAATTTATAAAAATAGGGTATCTACTGCTTTGCGGGAACATCATTTATAATTTTTGAGTTGTATACATTAATTAAAGCTTTCAAATTAAATAAACATTAATTTACTGGTCTAAAGTGTTTAGGCTTCTACAATGAGTCGAGAAAATTCATATCTAGGAAATCCTGGAATTTGTAGGGCCCTATTATAGATTTGAACTATGTGAGCAATAAATACATTTTTATGTTTTAAGCACCAAACTATAAAAGTTCACAAAAACAATTTTGATAATTTTTAAACCATAATGGTCTAAAATATAATGTTCAGTGATTTCTAATCTCAGCGGATATTTAAGAATGTTCTATATTAATATTATCATTTATTGGAATTAATATAATGAAACTTATGTATATGAATTATTAATGATTGTGGTAAAAATATAAAAACGTATGAATTAATTTAATAAAATCCAACTTAATGAGTTCGATTTTTACATAACATACGAGTACATTTAATATACTCTATAGTTAATGAAATTCATTCTGACATTCTTTAATTAAGGCTTACTTATATAAATAATAAAGATTTACAAGTTCTCAAGTATCATAATCACGCCAAAACACTTCTATACACTCCTACACTATATACTTCACTAAAATATAATGTAAAATATGTAAACTATATAGCTAGTTAAGCAAGTTAAAAACGTAATACATTTATATTAATATTCTTACTTTTTGGATTCAGAAAATGTATGGCAATCAATGGGCTAAGGTAGTCTTGTTTGTTTCTGTATGGATAGTAGTAGCCTGGAAATCCGTCTTGTGGATACAACTTTAATGGTCCAATACTATCTTTGTCTGCTGGTGCTTCTCCGTCACAGGTAACCCAAATGGTAAATAACTACATATGTGAAAATAACATTTTTATTGTATATGACAGTTTTATTATATTAATATTATTCTGAAATGCCCTAGTAGTATTGAGAGTTCTATAGAATAATCTTGAGTTATAATATTATAGAGTTATAGGGACTTCGGTAAGAATCCGTAAATGTCCTTCCAGATTTTAAATGCATGCCATAAGAAAGGCTGATGGATAACTTAAGACGGGCAATCTGTAAATGTTTCATTGATTTTTGATAAATTCATTACATATACATTGTATACCCATTATACATGTCCAAGGAGAATTCATTTTTCTGTTATACTTTCCCATAAATTAATATAATAAATATGGCACTTATAGTATTCAATATATATGTATGGCATATAGGCTAAAAATAATAAATTATTTAAATTATTAAAATATGCACACACATACACACACATTTGTATGTTTGTGATAAACAATATATTAATTATTTCAGTTAACATTACTATAGGCGCCAAGTAACAAAAAATCTAGTATAGTGAATATCAAATTGTATTAGTACTTACTCATCCACTATCCAGCTACTCATCCCTCCCCATAATAATAGTCAATGCACATAATTTTGTAAATTATTGGTAAATAATAATAATGTTGACCGTATTTATAGCCAGTGGATATAACTACATCTATAGATGTACACAGAACAAATATAAAATATTTAAGTTATACAGCACATAGCCCTATCGTAGTTCTAATCAGCTTCGCTATCATGGATTACGACTTGTATTGTAATCGGGGTACACAACTGATGTGTTTTTATGTCATTATGTTAAATAGTTTCGAATTTTGATCATGTTGTTTCTATTCTGAATAGTTTTATACTTTTATAATGATTACACATGAGCTATGGATACTAAATTATGTGCTACATACCCACTACCCAGTACTCAACCACCCATAATTCACGAACAGGGACATATGGACGCGAAAAATACATAAATGTTATTAATTTTTTTTCGGTTATAGGGAAAATTATATTATTATTTATCATAATTGATGTTATGAAATTGTATTAAGTAACTTCTTTTTATCTGTTTTTTTTTTTTTTTAATCAAACGCCTATTAGTCGTACTACTCGTTTCAAAATATTTATGTACAGTAACTTTGTAACTATTACATTTTTAAATTGTATTGTATGTATAGTAATTTGTATTTGTTTTAATATAATCTTTTATATATTTATATATAAATTTATATATTAATATAAATTTTTATATACTTTATATATATATATGTATATAATTTCTATTTATTTTTATATATATTATTATATATGACGCTATATTTGAATAAAATTACATACACCCGAATAAAATAAATGTATTATTATTTATGTTTTTTTCGCGTCCAAATGTACCCTCCGCGCCCAAACGGTCGCGTCCATTTTTCTTAGATCGTATAATTCACTGCGGTAATCGCCATACTTGGATATAAGGATTGGCGCCACTAAACATAACGTTTATTTGAAATAAATGGGCTGAAACAATATTGTATAATAGTATTATATATATATGAGTGCGAAGTAATGATGACTAGTTAGATTAATTTGTCCCAAATCTATCTTTTACAGCTATGCCCCATAAATATAACAAAGGTACACAGAACGAATTATTTTCTTGAATAGTGCTCCATAACTGTACAAGATCAGTATTGAGAATCCTAGTATTTTAGCTAGGCAACATTTGGATATTTTCTAGAAGTTTTTGATTGGTGTTTCATTTGAAAAATCAGTGGACTATCTCACGAGAACCTTCGTGTTATTGGGGTATGTGCATAAAACAAAAGTAATTTAAATATTTACCTCGTGTTTCATTCTTGATCCGATTTTTTCTTTGAGTTCATTTGGCATATCAGCTGGAATGTCTGACTTGTTAATGTAAAATTCTGGTTCCCAGTCGAAAATCTGTACAGTTTACAAAATAATAATAATAATTTACCTATTAACAAGTTAGTATTTATTTCATTTTTCACAAAATACAATTACAATTTACAAGTGTGAATAATAAGATGAAGTTTTCATATAAATCGCGATGTATACAAACCTTATTGAGCTTAATAAAAACGCAAGGCTGAGCTTTTGGATATTGATACTTGAATTCGGATGAGCACGGTCCCATATTAGCTAGACTGACATCACACACCTTATCCTTTTGCGGTGGCGTATTGTAACCACATTTTTGTTGATTGTTACCCTTATCTGGCAACAAGGTCTTGTTCTTGTACACTGAAATCATTCAAAATTACTCTATATCTTGTTTTTACACCAAATAAAAGCAAAAATACACTGTGCCATGCAATTGATTTATTAACTAACCGGCCAAGAACTTATCTAATTGATTGGTCCACACTTCTACATTAGTTGCGTTGTCCGCTGCATAGTAAATTAATGATCCGTCTTCAACGTTCGGTGACATGGGCCGAAAACCAAGTCCTGTAAAATATATTTAATAAATACGGGTACATGAACACACTTCGTGTTATTTTGCATAGTGCCACACATCAATTCATGTAGATACGTAGATATGTAATCTACGCATTACTCGTCAATAATGCATTATAGTCGATATTAAAAGTATCCAAAATTCAGAGGAAAACTTATAAAAAAATTATTTCTACCTTCCAGTATGTTCCTATTACTTTTATCATTAAACTAAAATTTATTGTATATGTGTTCCTATACACTGAAGTCATCAAAGTTTTAAGCAATTCAATTGATGAGATAAATTATCTGTTTTTTTGTAAACTTTAAAATATTTATTATATTTATTTGTCTTAAACAATATTTTTAAGTGTGTATGTATTTTCAAGTATAACACAACTAAAATATTATCAACATTTTTTAAAACTAATTTATACATTTTATAGATGTATATTTTATAATCAGATAAATGTGTATGTACATAAAGTTATGAATTGTTTGACATAATGTATGTTCCGAATAAAAATTATTAAGACAAGTCAGCATAAAAGAAATATCAATAGATACCTATAGTTAAAAGTTTAAAATAATAAGAATATTATTAATACGTACCAGGATTTGTACCAATTATAGAGCTGGTTAAAGTGAAATGAGGTGTATGATCATTCAATGTGGATAATAGTACTTTCATACAGATACCAAACATACATGCTAGACTCGAATAGAACACGGCATAGAATAGCAGAATACCTCCTGTAACATAAAAAATAGGAATTTAGATTATATTCATTATATTTTTATAAATTTAATATCTTTTTAATGAAACTTCAAAATAATTATATATATATATATATATATATATATATATACTCAAATTATAACGATATGACAATCACACTATTATTTCAGACAACATTTTATTCAATGTTTTAAGATAAAATTTGTAATATTTAATCGTTTTTATAATAAGTTTGATTTAAAATTACGTCCCTTTAGATCAGTCTAAAATTATCAATGAACTATATTTTTAATACATTTTTTATCATAGTTACTAAAAAATAATCAATTATTTAATTAATGATTTCTTTGAATATCATTCATAAGAATTATTGATTAAGTATTATGAGTTAAAATATTTAAACAATACAATTTGAATAATTTAATATAGTAAACATATTCAATAACATGTGAATTACTAATTTTATTAAATCTAACAGTTAAAATATTCCATCTTCAAAATATTCGTTTTAAAAAAACTATAAATACGTAAATTAAGTTTATTTATTTTAAAAATAGTTCAAATTTAGTTCATTTATACAAAATATATAAAATATGTTTAAACAAACCAGTTCTTCAGAAAATAATTAAAATATTTGAGATTTATATTTTATAAATAACTTCTTCATGTGTGGACAGATCAATTTTAAATTGGGCATTACGATGGTCGTGACTAAAACTAAACTAATATTTACCTGATAAGTTATCGAGCTTTAAAAACTATTCGACTGAAGTTTATTCACTAATAAATCATTTGATTTAATTTATTTACTAAAAAATATATCAAATAATTTTTGGGTAAAACGATTTTACCGATCATTTAAAAAATTCGAAGTATACTCGTAGTATACTAATAATATTGAGAAACTCAGGAAATGACCGTTTAAAAATATATCATATTACATGCATTAGCTCAAGTTTCAATCAATAGAGAAGCAATAAGAAAACATCATAATAAAATCTAAAATAACATCCTAATTTTTTTTTTTTTTAGTTTATATTTACTTTGGTTAAAAAAAAATCCTCATTTTTTGCAAGCTAATAATTGTTAAATATTGATTTAAATAATACTATGAGAGAATCAAAAGAAAAGCAAAATTATCGACTAATATATTCTACTACTTCAATTTAAGTACATATTTATTTAATCAAATCTTAAAAATAACACGACTCTAGAGAAATTGGGTAAATAATTGAAAATAATTTGACAACCCAAGTTATTATTCTACTTAAATGTTTCTTTACGCATTTAATATTTCGTTTGCAAAGATTTAAAAGAAAAAAAATTATAAAAAAATTAAAACAGAATGAAGTCAACATGTTTAAACCTCAGTTTTGTTATTATTTATTATATGATTTATTTGAGCATTATAGCTGTTATATTATGCTTTTATTAAACAAATAAATTGTGTATTTTTTTGATTTAATATAAAAGAGATATTGTTATATAAGTATTATATACTTATAAATACTAGTATATACTATACTAGTATTTATAATCAATGGTATTATGCATTTCCTAAATTAATAATTATAATAATTTATTTTATTTTTAATTTATTTTGATTTTTGTTGACAAAAAAAAAAATATTAACACAAATATGTTTAAATTATATTATATTTATACAAACATTAACACAAATACTTATTTAGTTACATAATATTAAAATCACAAATATAAATTACATAACTTGTATAAAGAATAATACAAAGAAATGTTATTATTATTTATTTAAACTTTATTTAAGTTAAAATAAATAAAAATGAGAAGTTAAATTATTTATCATGTGTTTTTACATGTATGGTACATTTGGTAACATAAATATCTATTTTAATACATTTAAAGTAACTAAAATAATAATTTTATTTAAAATATATTTAGGTAAATATTTTGTGTATTTTCTCATTTTCTTAGCAAAAAAAATATGAAATTAATTATTGCTATGAGTTTATTAGAATAAAAACCCTTCATCTAAACAATTTTCTATTATAAATTCATGTATTATATACACATATATATTTAAAGATTTTTAAAGAAACATTAATAAATACATTCAAGATTATTTATAATTAATAACTATAGCTAATTACCTTTTTCATCATCCAAGAAAATACATTTTTATACTTAATATTTAAATGGTTATTTTTGATAATTAGCCCAATTATTCATATTATAATATTATTATTAGAGTATTATTTGTGTTATAGATCCTGAGCAAATATCAATATGTTTTCTTCCTATGATTAAAACTTTTGGTAGTAAATCAGTACATGCTTGATAAAAAATACATTTAGAAACGAAAGAAATTTAGAAAGAAGTAATTTATCGATATCCTTAGTAATTTTTGTAATTTAATAAAAACTTTAAGAAAACTTTAAAATTATGTTGAATATTGACCTACAATTCTAGCTTTTTTTTTTATTGATCTGAAGCAGAGGCGTCATTTGGGGGGCACAGACTATAGCAAATGCCCCACTCTAAGAAATTTCAAAAAGTCGGCAATTCCATGTTCGATGATCAAATGCTTAAATCGGTAAATAGTAAATTTTTATTTACTTATTTTGCACTCAGAAATCAGATAGTATTTTCTTTTAAATACACGTTCACGGTTTATTAAAAGTTGGAAAACACTCGTTTCTCCCCAGTTTATGAAATCGTTATTACGCGAACTTTATAAACTTTATTTTTGATATATTATATATTTATATATATGTGATCTTTATCAAACAGTTTTCGTGATATCAATACCAAAAAAAATTGAGCTCATTATCTATAAAAAAAACCATTAAAATCGTTCCTATTCATCCCAAACTACGGTACATTATATTTGAGATACAATTTTATGTTTTTATAAATAAGTTCTGTAAAGTGTTAAATATGCAAATAATAAATATATAATTATTTATTTAATTAGATTAATATTATTATTCCATTAAACCTATTGATAGATAACTTATAGCCTATAGGACAAGTAAATAAATTAATGTTTTACTATTTTTAATGTTATTATTTAATTGGGTAAATTGAAACGTTTTATGTTCTTTATTTATCATGATAAATAAAAAACATAAATGCATCATGACATTATTATTCATTACAAATCCGTACTTGTTTTGTTCCGAAAAAATATTTAATTGATAGTCTATGGTCCATAAATATTAAACATTTAAATATATAGGTAACCATAATTTTTTAAATTTTATGTAGTCGGCAAATTTAATCAGTTGCCTCACCCTTTCAAAAGTTGAAATGACGCCACTGATCTGAAGAAAATACGCTTATCTGTATCTAAGTGTTATAGGTTAAAAATATTACGCCTCCTTAAAATTCAGACTTTTTGCACTCTTTACAATCACAAATTAATAATAAAATTTTCTTAATTTAATTTTAGTAATAAATTATTAAGAATTTAAATACAATTCAAAATTTACCTTTAGGTTTCAACAACAAATTTAATTAATACATAAAATAAAATGGAAATCGTATTTTGTTTTCGGTTTCATAGCTATATGGATTATAATTTTTCTGCTTTCCTTGTCCCAGAAAATTTTGCTTTGAAACGACCTGCAGTTACAGTTTTAAAAAAATCAATAATGACACCGTATGTTTGTATACTCATTGCAAAAAGAAAGGGAGAAACTTCCACAGTGTCATTTACTTATGTAATAATTTAAGTGGGTAATAATAAATTATTAACAACCATGATCTAATATTTTAATAATAACGTATCTTTTAATAAGACTGTTTTAAATTTTTTTTTGATTCTATATCAGGTGTAATTTTAAGTATTTGCATAGAGGTACGTGTCATTTATATAAAATAAAAGTAAATTTGAAATTTTAGGTCCTTTTTATTAAGTATTAATAGACATAAAAAATGTAACTTAGATTATACTACGAGATCAATTATTACATTTTATATTTCAAGAATATGAATGGATATAAGGATTACTACTTAAAAAATAAGACAAGTTACAGAATTCAGTCAATTTAACCATCAAGAAGAAAAATAAATAAATATAGAGAATTTCTTTCAGAACGAATATTATTAAATCATCTGAGACCACTCAAACGCGAACAGAATGCACTATCAATAATATTATTTATAGAACTATAAATATACCTTAAAGTTATTGTATAAAATATGTACTTAAATCGAGTAGAGTTTTAATTATTAAACTAATAATAATGAAATATACAATGATAATAACTTATATCAACAGTTATTTAATAAGTATTCTGTATAAGACTTAGATTTTACTTAGTAAAAGTATTGTAAGCAATTTGAAGGTCAGTATATAGATTTTCAGTATATTATTATAAATTATAAATACATCAGAGAGAGAGAGAGAGAGAGTATGGTTATTATTAATACGCTATTATTATAAAATATATTAATCATAAATAATATGTTCTAATATTAAACTTGTTATAACTTGTATACAATTAGTTTTCAGTTCACAGACAAAAACTGCACGCGGCTCTATATGTTATTTTATATAGGGGTCTCATACTATACCTAATATTTACCGGTAATCTAAAAATGTTCAACTCGATCAAGTTTACGAATCACAATGATCAGTACTGCGGAAGTACCTAATACTGTGCGACTGCGGATAAAATGTGAAGATTTATAAATTAAGTTAGTTACTTAAACTCGTTAAGTATGCTGTATATGAGGGTATAATCATAATATTTATTTCATAAAGTATGCCAACGGGCTGATGTAAAATATTGTACCTATATTTTTTATAGACATTCGAAATGCATATAAAACAATATCGTCGTTCATAACATTGCGGACAGAGGTTGTTCTAAAATTAGAAACACTTTTAGTCACACTTCTCGAAATCACGAGCGCAAACGTTGCTAAACACAATTTAATATATATAAACGCGTGCGTGTGTTTTTCTTCTATTTTTAGACGGAATTGGCAACGGATGCGTTTACTCATATAAAAAACCAACGGGCAAACGCGTGCGCACTCATCGAGTGTCGTACGTCCCGAATTCACTGGAGTGCATGTATACATATATATATATATATAAATTACATGCGCCTATGTAACATATACATTGCATAAATTATAATAAATGTGTACCTTAATTGTAAAGTTGTATTAGCAAATATGAATATAAATGACTACAGAAATGAGATTATAAAACTAATGTAAAATATAAAAAGATGTTTATATCTTAAAAGTTAAAAACTGTGATAATTTATATTTAAAAAATTATATTAATTCTCATACACTTCTTTGGTAGGTACCAACTGTAATAAAAATGAATGTTTGCGGTCAGTCAAGCTGACTATGGCTCAAAAGAACACATAACAGAAAACATAATCGAGCTTGGTTCTATAGACATATAACTATTTTATTTTATTTTTATATTTATTATCATAAACATGAATTACAAATTATAGTATTTAATTAAATATCCATTTGAAAATAATTAAATATAATAAAATTAAAATTAAAAATTATTAAACGGTTAATACTCCTAAATTACTCGTACTAATATTCTAGGTTACGCATTTATTTACCTATTTATTTATTTCTATGTATAATTAAATATAATATATATGTAATTCATAAAAATTATCACTCCTAAAGTTGTGAAGTATAAAAAAAATATTGCTGTGAGAGTATTTTATAATTACGTTTTCATACTATACCTACGATATAAAATATTTTAATAATGTTTAAATGTTCAATAAAAATTAAAATTTTGTTGTAGAGATGTGTAATTGTTTAGGTACCGAATATCTACGGTTCAAGAATTAAGATGTATATTTTTAAATATCTATCAGATATCCTATAGGCAGATCTACAATGCGCAGACCTGTATTTCAAGGGATGCCTACAATACTTTTGGGCTCTTTCTTAACAAAATGTGTAGATATATTTAATAAATTATAATGTATAAATGATTAAATAAACATGACTTTAATAATTTATTTAATATTGTGGTATATACATATCAATGAAAATGTATTTCTTGAATCTCGTATATTCTTCTCAGTTAGCTTCAATTTTATTTTTGATTTTTACTCTTGCAGCAAATTAGAGGTTTTATATTATCATAAAAGTTTTGTAAGAAAATTTAATATAAATTTTGTTTAATTTTTTGTATTACGAAACATAATTTATTTTTCCAGATATATTACATTAAATTATATTTAATTTGAGCAATATTAGCTAAAATATGGATCCCTTACTCTTAGACTTAAACTGCTCTTATTAAAGGCTCTATTTACAACATTTCGGGTGGTGCATGGGCAAACCGGACACCCCTATGCGCACGTTTATGAGATATCCTAGCTCACAAGTCATTATCGAGGCATAAAAATTAATTTTTATTTAAAAAAATTATTGTATAAAAAAAAAACACCAAGAAAATAATGTTGATACAAAATTTATGTTTTTTTAAAAATATTTTAAGCAAGTATTTCACTGTGGTTTTAAATTTATTATATTAGAAAGCTTAACCTATTTTCATTAAATTTGTATAAAAAATATTGATTAATAATAAAACTGTTAGTCGTGAAACGGGTAGCTTAGGGTTTTTTTTTTCTTATTGTTTAGTTCAGCGTACGCATAACGACGCGTATAATATGAATTTATTGTTCAATTGTTTTCGTAAAAATAAAAAATATGGATAATACGGTCTGAGGCATGTAAATAACTAGCGGCTTTTTATTGGTAGGTCGAATACTCCTTTATCGATTCCTAAACGAGCAGGTAGTCCGAACGTGCTTCACGTATAAATTTCACGAAACTTGTCGAATTAGTTTCAAAAAAACATTTGTTTCATTAAGCACATACAACTCGTGTAAACCCTCCGTTTTCACTGTAATTGTGTGTGTAATTTTACTATAAGAATCCGACATCGGCTACTATCGCTCACATTTATTAATATCGTAAATTCTTTAGTGTTAAATTAAGTCATTAATGGACTGCTCTAGAACGATGAAAAAATACTTTTTGGTAAATTTGGATATAGATTATAATGAAGAATAAAAATATTTCAACACTAAACCATAATACTTGATTAGGTTGAATACATTTGGACAAGGAGAAGGTGATAATAATTATGCGCAAACTTTGAGTATACGTGCGTGTTGCATATACTACGAGGAACGTAATAAAATAAAATCACCCCTCAATCGTTTTATAAAATTTACCTTACCATGAATCACCACTATAGTTTATATGAGTGTAGTATATTGTATACCAGTCAACTTGCCAGGGGAGTTGGAGAGATTTTTCTCCCTGGGCCGTGACAATTATTAGATTATATATCAGCCTAGAAGAATTATTAAAATAATAATATGAATCATATTATATTATATTAATGTCTAACTGTCAAGTATATTTTAATACTATACTAAAAATATGTAATGACCATCGTGTTTATTTACTCAGTAATATTGTGATAGGTGATAATTAAAGATACTAGTTATGTAATGTTGTTCAAGATTGCAGATTTTTTTTTTTCATACCAAATACCAACCAATTAAACGAGTTGAATTTCGCAAATCTTTCAAATAATTAAATTGTTAACATACGTTTAACAAGGGAAAAACACAAATATTATGCTTTATTTGAAACTCCTTGCAATAGTAGAAAAACGGATGACAGAATCTGATACAAAAATCTTTGGTAAAATTACACGCTTTTAAACTTCAAATCTCTCACCGTGATGGGTCCCGTCACATTGTTTACGTAGAATGATATGTTATACATAGCATATAATACATGTGATATGATCCATGACATGTTTACTTAATGCACGCGTTAGAGAAAATCAATTTCTATGCCCTCCCGTCATAAAAAAAGCATTTTATGCATTTACGAGTAAGGTTCCGCGTAATAATAAACATACTACGCACGTAATGTTATAAACTTTTCCATAACGTGTTTTTTTTTTTTTTTTGTTTTCAACCCGGAGATTAGTTTTTAACAAATTTCCTTACAACGTGAAAATAACGCGTAAAGCTGTATAAATCGTCATACCGATTTAATTTTTCGGAAATAATTTAAATTAGGCAAATGCTCTTATAAGGACTGTTCCGTGTCATGCATAAAATAATAAGCATTCATGTAAGACAGTTAATGTTTGCTAGAATCGTTTTTTTTCGGTATTAGATAAGTTTTTATGCGAAATGCCAGATATTTTATTTGTGACATACGGCTTTGACACATCTTCCGCGCTGAACACCTACACATTGCGTGGATATTGCGTAATCTCAGAACTCGTACGAGTATGTGTACAATGACACATGTGGGGCTACGCACACAAGAGCTGAATTGATTGAAAGCAGATAAAAACGTGTACATTAATACACACGCGCGCTCGCGTGCGCGTATAGTAATATTTTTACGTACGGATATGACGTCGAAATGTTTTATTTTAAAATGTACGTTACCCCAACTCTTGGCGGACCGGCCGAGGAACTCGTGCGAGCTAGGGTTGTAAATGCCGTTTTGGATTTTCTGCCATATCGTCCTGTCGTCCTTCACCTTGGCGTACTCCCATTCGTAGCCGATGCCGTTCGTGTCCGTGTTGTGCTTGACCATGGTTCACGTATGGTACGGTTTACGCGGTGGCGGTCAACTTGCCCGCTCGACTGTTACGCCTACGTGCTCTTCTGATGACCAGGTCGACCTGGTTGGTACCGGTCACGACGACGGCGATCTGCTGCCGATGGTCTGGCGCGAAAACGCGTCTGCAGTCGTGCAACCCGGAGAACTAACCGTTCGGGTGGCGTCGGGTACTAGTCGTACGACGGACGCGGTGGCAGCGGCGACTGTGTTGCCCGGACTGAGGAACGCGCGACGGTCAGCTTTCGCGAGACCGGTGAAAATGGTATCGGCGGCGGGTCGACGGCGGCGGCGGCGGCGGCGGCGGCGACGATCGATGACGGGCGCGCGCGCCTAATAAATATACATATGCGCCGCTAGTAGACCGCCCCGCGCGCGCGTACGACAAACGGCGACGGAATGCGAAGACCGCTTCGGCGGCGGCGGCAGCGCGATGCAGTGTTGCCCCCGCAGCGAGTCCGTGCAAGTTCGCAAGTTCTTGGCGCGCGCGCACACATTTCTCCGTCGATCCGATTTTCATTTTCTCCTCTCCCTCCGGCGTAGTACTCTCGCCGGGTATAATGAATATAATATACATGTATATGTACGCGAAAAGACCCACACGCCACTATTGATTCGGCCCGGGCCCGGATCGTGCGCGTTTGTGACCACGTTATACAGGATCTTTCGAGAGTAATGACTCGACGCGCGACTGGCGCAGGGTAGTAAAAGCCGACCGAGGGATTGCGAACAATCGGCTGTGAACCCTGCCTCTTTTAACGGTGAAAAACGTTTGTGACTATTGGGCATTCGATTTCCATAAGCTACGATTCGGCGTCACGTGGCTTTTTCCTTTCTACGACTTCCGTGTTTCACGTGCTTACGCTTGAACGCCCTGTGTCGTACATCATGTACACGCGCACGTCTACGCACGATATTTGTGTTAGCGTTCGCTCGAATTAAAAATTCGTCGTCGGACGCGTACAAAGCGAGTAGAATTGCGACCGGATACGAACATATTTGCAATTTTATTTTTTCGTATTCGATCGCAATTTCGTTCATCTTGTACACATCTGATAATGAGTTTTCACAATTCGAAATCGGTCGTGCTTTACATATATATATATATATATAATTATACTCCAGGCTAAGCTTTTATATTTATTTCTATACATATACACAAGTACTTTAATGCAAGCGCACACGCATACATGTGTGTGATGTATTTGTATACAAACAAATGCATTACGTATTGTGTACTCGTGCGCTGTGTACACTCGTACGGAGTCGGCCACTGTGACACCCCTTCAGCCCCTACTGCAGGTTGTTGCGGTACGCGCAGACCCCCTCCCGCCGCCCACGCACCGTTCGATGAGATATTATGTAATATACCTATTACAATACGTTATTGTACACGCGACGTTTTATGGTTGACGGCGAACCGTGATGTCGAGGAGGGTGAAGGCTTCAAGTGGTAGCTGGGTAGGGGAGGTTCTGAAAACACACGAACGCTCCTGTTATCGATAAATACGTTTTTCGGCGTACGTCCTTCGTACACGCAATTTTCGTTCTTTTTTCCCGTTTGTTAATTTCATTTTTGCGTTCGTTCGCGCACTCACACTCGTTCCGTTTAATGAACTTTTGCACTTTTCACGTAGATCGTAGTTAATCCGTCTATTTGTCGACACGTCCGAATACGAATACACTTGTATTGGATTATAATAACGGGCAAAGCGGTTTACGTCGCGTACGATGTAGTTCACGATGGTCATACTATGTTAAAACTGTACTTTTGTCTTAGTTTTTTTTTTTTTTTTCACGAAGGATTACCGGGAGCTATTTTATTTCATAAAATACATTTAAAAACAAAATAATGTTACTTTAAAATTAAAATTGTTGAATTTTAATTAGATGCGCCTAACGTGACTTTTTTTACTTCGTACGTTTCTGTACGACATATAAGTAACCGCAATTGTTTTAAACAACAAATTAAAAAAAAACGGGATTAAAACAGAACAGCTATTAAAAAAAATGGGATTAAATGCGCCCAATTTAATCTTTAGCGAGTCAACAAAACAATCCCGTTTTAACCGTGATTTCATTATATGCAAAACTATACCTACATAAATTATATTATTTTACGCGTACACTCGTATTACGATAGACTTCAGAATATAACCGGGGTAGCAAAACTTTTTTGAGTCTCGTCTGATGCTACCAAATACATACATCTACATTTATAAAAAAATAAATAAAATAATAATCATGTAATGTAAAATGGTCGCATACACTTTACATCAGATGTCATATTAGATTTTGTAGGTTGGTGGCCCACTTTTGGTTCTGGCCACGGATACAGAATGTTATGTGTAAAGAATTTTAACTATAAAGATAAATAAATACGGTAGTGAGTGTATATTATGCTATTATATTATTATTTAATATAAATTATATTATATATTTTATATTATTATTATTATTAATTAATATTATTAGCTGTATATTATGATAAAAAAATTCAATAATATTGTTTATTATAATTTAGAAAATTATTTCTTTCTAAAGAACGCAGTCACTTTTTATGTGATCTATATACTAATTAAAAAAATTAGTTTAACTTTTTTTAAACTGAGTTAAGTTAATATTTTTTTCTTTATTGACTTTTTACTTATCATGTTAAATTTATGAATTGTTAACTGTAATCTTTTAACTTATCGTTCTTGTATTCTTTTAACTTAAATCGAGTTAATTATTTTCATTAACTTCCCCATATTTGATAATTAATACCTTTTCTTAACACGACTATCTTCTTTTTTACTATTAATTGTTGCGTTAAAATAATTAATAACTTTAAATAATAATTGAATTTCAGTTCATTACTTTACTCGCTAATTTTCTGTTGATTTATTTTACCACTCTCAAAAATCAATCAGCTTTCAAATCATAATTTTTTTCTATACGTATTTCAATAATTTATAGCCATTGCAAATCCAATAGACGCTAAATTGAATTCGTTAACTAATTTGTTATCAGATTATTATCTATTATTTATATATTATTTACTCATACATTTATTATTTATTTATTATGTTCCGATTATTTATAATTTCTCAAAATTATTATGATTAAAATAATAATAATTTGTTGTTCATTATTTTGTAGAATACATTTAGAAACTCGACGTTAGGTTTTATTATAAATTTTTTATTACTATTATTATTAGAGAGCAGATCATCTACCATACGTAGATGTTTTTAACAATAATCGTGTTTCCCGTTATTTGTAATGAATAAGCTAAACTAACTATAATAAGTTACTATAACTAAAATAAGCTAAGTTAAGTAGTTAGTTAAGTTAAAATCTATATACTGTTTTTCATTTTTCCTTGTAGTTGTGCGTATTATTATTTTGACAAAATTCTAAGACATACATTTAATCATCTTAATAAATGAGTTCGATATTTCAATGCAACTTTAATTTTGACCATCTTGATAATATAAAATTGTAATCTAAATAATATGTCAAATCAGATATAAGTCAAATACTTGACTAATATATATAATATATTTGCAACATGATATTAGATTAACGTGGTTTATTTAGGAAAGACTTACCTAATTTTTTTTAATCAAAATCAAATATAAATAGTTTTTAAATTAAAAATAAGAACTAATGACAAAAAAAATTAGATAAAAATGAAGTATCTCTATGTAATTATATCAGAGCATTCAAGTTGAGTCCTGAATACTAGGGATTGATCGCAGGTAGTGTACTAGTTGGGTCCCGGATTTTTATAGGTACCTACTACACTAGTTGAGTCCTGAATTATTTTAGGTATTACACTAGTTCCTGAATATTTTTTGGTAAGTACTACATTATACTAATATTTTTCTTCCCGTTTTAACAGACTTAGGACTGTCTATGATCTCTTTAGACCTCAGGCATGGTTAAAAATGTTTTTATAGTTTATTTTTTTTTTTTATAGTTTTTTTTTTCATTAAAATATAAATTATTAGAATTGTGTTGGTAAAAATATTAAAAATATTAAAATTGTATTAATATTATTGTGTAATATTTTTAATTATTATGATATTTTTATTACTTAATATTACTAATATTTCATTTTTAATACTTTTATTATTTAAGTACTAATACTTTATATTATTACATAAATTATAGAATTTTAAAAAAATGTGGTCCTGTGGTCTAAATAGATCAAAGACAGTTCTAAGTCTGTTAAAATGGGAAGGAAAATGTTAGTATAATGTAGTACTTACCAAAAAATATTCAGGAACTAGTGTAATACCTAAAATAATTCAGGACTCAACTAGTGTAGTAGGTACCTATAAAAATCCGGGACCCAACTAGTGTAGTAATTTTAAATTTGGGACCCAATTCGGATGCAGCCAATTATATAATGATATTATTATCATCAGTTTTTATAATTTATTATTATTTGTATTTAACTTTAAATTATACAAAATAATAAATATTACAAATTGATGATAGGTATGAGTGGTATGACTATAATATTATGTTATAACATATTAAATAAGTATAAACAAATTTAATTAAATAAATCATCAGGATACAGATAGTTATAATCAGTGTTGGGACTTATCTAGATAATTGTCTGTATTCTTGAAAGATTAGAGTTATTTTTATTCTTGTACGGAGACGAATCCAACAAATCAGAGATTATAAAATCGCTCCAGCCGTTCTTGAATTATAAATTCTGTAACTAACCCGACTTTCTTTTATATATATATATATGTAGATTTTGTATTTATAATCATAATTCGTGTAGGATTAATAAGTAATTATTTCTTGGTATGACATTTTGTTTGTATTTTCATGTCGGAAAAATATTTTTGGTATTTTTAAACTTAATTTGTTATTTTTCCACGGAAGTTCCAAATATAGTAGGTATTTGATTTTAGTAAACACATGTAACTCATACGCTGAATAGTCAATATTTCAATCTTGGAACCCGTAAAGTCGTAACTACTTATATAATAATGAAAATCATCAAATTAAGATTATATGGAAAACAATATTGTTAACTTAAAATAATTTTTCATGTATTCTGTATTCATCCTGATATGTATTTTTTTTTTTTTTTTTGTGTAACATTTTAGCGATTAACAATTATTAAATATTATACATTGTATATAAATACTGCTTAATGGTACACTACATTACTACAATAAACATTAAACACCTAGGTACCTATTGATAATAATGATTATAATTGAGTTTTTATAGATATTATTACAAATATGAAATATTAACCAAAAAATAAAAAATTTTGAAAAT